TGCACAGTACCTATAAGACCTTCTTTGCCCCCTATTCCCTGTCCGGGAATTATTTTTTGAGATTTGTTTGTTTCCCTCCATGCATAAAAAACGTCATTGGGTCCTTTGAAAGGCACTATATAAATGCAAGCGATATTTAGATTGTGTAGGTACAGTGATTTTTATTTTAATACTTTCTCTCTGCCAGTTCCTCCTACCTGTTGGCATACTGCCCCAGGCTTTGCACTTGATCAGCTAGATAGTGTGGCAGCTCCCAGGATACTTCGTTGGTCAGAGTGTTCCAGTAGTAGTAGCAGCCGGAGTTGTCATCCCATACCTCCTGCCAGTCTCCCATCTCTACGCCCACTGCAAAAAAAAAAAAAAAAAAAATGCATATACATGAGATACACACCATCAGGACATGCACACTTAATCTCAAAGGCATTTTTCCACCTGGACTTTATTTTCTCATGTTTTGGTGTCAAAATGACAAATGGGGAGAACAAGTTTTAAATTTGGTCCAGTACTGGGTATGAATGCTGCAGCCTTTTAAAGGACTACAAGGTAATTCTAGCAAAAACAGTCAAAATATGTCCATCAAAAGTGCTTGTTTTTGCCACTGACCAGCTAAGATTAAAAAATGTTTCATTTCTCTGGAGACAATACAGAGGAATTACACATTTTCTGTACCTTCTCCTTGATCCGCTATGTTTCTAACAAAGAATTCCATTTCCATTCGTCTCTTTGACCAGGTTGAAAAATAATAGTTAACTCTTAAATAACCCTACTGATATTTACCTCCGGCTAGTGAGTACTGAGTGTCGTACTCAAACTCTGTGCTTTGTTGACTCTGTTCTCCGCTGGCAGCTGGTTGCTGAGCATTGACCTCAGGTCTGGGAGGGGCGGTAGTCGGGGCTGAAGAATGAGATGCTGCATCATCTGAACTTGGCTGAGTGGTGATTGCATCAATCTCCTGTGGTGGGGAAAATTGAAACAGGGATTTCAATATTTTTGATAAAAACATGTTTTCACTCCCCAAGCATGAACCGCACAGTTCTGAGCACTAGAAATATATAATTTATGAGTGGAAAACAAGTCTCCAGTTAGAAACTTACACAAATTGAACATAAATTATACAACCTGAAACATGAAGTCAACTTTGTACCACCCACAATTATCCATAATGGATTGGGCCCATAGATCTAATTATAATCTCTCCTTTTAGTTCACCACTACCTATTTTGAATCCTTTTAATATTCCTTTTATAAAAGAACTTTGTAGACTTCAAATTTTAGTATAACCTTCTGTAATTTTCACTACAAGTCAAGTGATATGATGGACAGAGACCCTCCTCCTATTTGTTTTGCTGTTTTTGGACTGAACTAGGTACAGATCACGTTACATGTACCATTTCCTTTCAAACACACAGAGCTGGACCAGGAATCTCTGTACAGTTCTGAGCCTGATAAGGCGAATAGCAGATTCATTACACACCTAGATACGAAAACTGGGTTGTGAACCATACCATAAATAAATGTTATGCAGTAGCGTACAGCCTCAACTGCACCACTAATAGGTATAACTTAACTTATATTAACTTACTTATTTTGACAGGAACAAG